ATCTTCTAACGGCGAACTGATTTTTTAATACCGTCTAACCTATTGTTTTCATCCCAGTTTTCCAAGGGCAAGGCCGCCGAGCGCTGACTGAAGATTTAAAACAATGGAAGTCGACGGCGGCTTTATAAACATAGATCAAGGGTTTGTCGCTTTTTACCACAAAGCGGCTCTGGCTTCATCATTATTTTTATAGGGACATGCATTTTCACTACGACAATATGCAATATTATTACACAAACTTTAAAAAGTAATAAAACCAAAAACATGGTAAGTAAATATTGTTAGTCTTTTTTTATTGAATACCCTCAAAGTTATATAAAAGATTTGCGTAAGTGTAAGCACAAAGTCTAACCTTAATGCTTAAAAAGTGTGCCTGAAAAGTTAATTTAGAAGAAGACCATTTTTTTAATAAAAAAAAACCCTTGCCTCAGATTTTAATCCTTTATAATTCAAACTGATTTCTAAACCATGATCAGCTTTGATTTTTGGGTATTTCCGTTTCCCGACGATATTTTTCTTCACCGTACGAGTGAGTCAACTGTGCATATAGAAACATAATTTCGGAAGTGCACAGCTGCAATCCGAAGCCTAGCCATAATGCTAACACTACTCAAAGCTTAAATAGAACTTACTAAAACAAAACAATACGCGGAAGTCTTTTCATATGAATAAAGTAATGAATTTGCAGATACTTGTAAGCTACTCATTAACTTGTTATCCAATAAAACATTTGGAAAAGTTGGAATGGACGCAGACAAGTTGTACTGGAAAACACCGTTTTGTGGTGACTAATGGGCGAAGTTGAAAGTGAATTTTAAATTGGAGTGTCCAAATTTTAGCTCTATATTAATTTTATGGATTTAGTTATTATTCATTTGACTAAATCCCTAATTTATGGAATGATACAATTGAATTTTACAGAATAAACAAGCTAACTGAATATGTGCTATAACAGCATATCCTTTACAAAGTATATTGTCTCTTACTGATATTTTACGATATGTCTACGTATAATATTTTTCTATCAGTTAAGTGACTGTAACACCGGCCTTTTGACCTCGAGTCTGAAGCTTTTTGTGCAAAAATTAAGCCAATTCGAGTATGCAGTTATACCCACCTAAAACTTTTTCATGTCATTGTTATACGACTTATGACTAATACCTTCTATTATTTAGGCGAATGAGAAGTGTATGATTCACTTGACTTGATGAATGTCAAAATTATACATTATCCCGAGTATTGTTCTAACTTTGTGATATTTCTATTTCCTTCAAGTCATTTCCTCGTTTCAAAATACTTATTACATTTTATACATTCTATTATATAAGAGAATATTATAAGAATATGATAAGAGGTATGATGATGCATCATATCTCACTAGGTAGATATATTAACTAATTTGACCAGTTTCTACATTATAGGTATAACAGTATATTATAACGATCCAGTTACAGTTTGTGCAATCGTAAATAAGTTAGTAAGTTATAAGTTAACCTTATCTGCTGCTAACTTTTTTTACCTGAAATTTGATTTCTATGAAAAAAGCCTGCATGTGCTAGTATCTCTTTTTTTATATAAAAACATTCGCAATTCAATATTATGTTTGTAAATATAACATACGCTTTCCTCGACAAATTCTGAGTAAATTCTTATTAGGAAACCCGTTGAAGCTCGCTACCGTAATTAATAATTTTATGCAAATCACTCTCAACACGATAAGAACCCGTAGGGTGAAAGCCTATTTTGAGAAAGATTATCAATGAATAGGACCATAATCCCTACATGTTAGAGGTTCATTAATGTATTAATTAAAAACATATTATTAAGTAATCTGCAGTAGAACAAACCGTATTAAAACGTTAAAAGCCTGGCATACTTTCTTGGGCTCACTACTAAATTTTATTGAACAAAAGTTTGTAGAAGAACTGTGTTTTTTTTCTATTGTATTCCTAGAGATTACAAATAATAATATGGCAGGAGATATTCGAGTAAATAAGACAAAATATATTTCTTACAGCTCAATTGGACACAAGCTACCAAACTTTATTCAAAAGTGTACGACAATTATTGCCAGGCGCAAATGCTTTCTACTTGTCTATAAAACTGGCGTTGTAGCGCTACTTTTAATATTTAAGTAATTTAACAACACCTTACGTTATATATGGAGAAACCAACCCAACGACACAAAATTGCATGTATAAAATAATTTATATAAAACCTCATTTTATTTTCAAGATGCAAAATTTGAAAAACAACGTGAAATTAATCAGAATATTATTAGAATTGCTAAAATTTTGATCTGTACAATTCGTTACGGCTTGGGAAACTGAAAACGAAAGATCAACATCGTTGATTAACTCATTAACGATTTTCGAATTTATTATCACTCGGAATAAATTGTAATAAGTTTCGCTATTTCTTCTGATTTAAGCAAATCTGTTGCTATATTTGTTATGTTAATTATTATTCTCTTTTCAACCTTAGTTTAATTAGATACAATAATTACAATACAACAACAAATAATTTGCACTGAAAACTAATGCGTGCCTTGTTTGTTTTTTATGGCCCCGATAGCATATTTTCATTCAATCACTACGATCTTATTTCATATACATTATGGTCAGTAGTTTCGAGTACCCCAAGGGCCAAGAGGCCCACAAAAGAAGGCCACAAACAATACTGATTGTACTACTAAGAATCATTATTTATATTTGATACGAGTGAGATATGAAAGTGATACACTTTATTACTTACTTTTTACCTTAAGTGAATTGGTATAATTACTTTTTCGACTAATTGTTACCTGAGTACATACCTAGATGCATTATTGATTCGAAATTAATAACGAAAAATGACACACGATTGTCAGTCATATTATAAGGAAAGAATTACTAACTACGTAGATAGAGTATAGAACTAGATGAGCTTCTAAAATAACAATAATAACTAAAGAGAGAAAGCATTAACGTGAAATACATAAGTGCGATGCCAAACAGAGTATCAGTTTTTCTGTCTCTATTTGTGTATCGGGTTTTATTTGTTTACCACCGAGCCCTTGGTGGTAAACAAGTTTTCACCGCTTACTGATAAATCTGTGAACCCAAGTCAAACTCATATTTTAAGACTTTATCCTTATAAGAGGTGTATTTAAAGTGTCAGTCATGGTGAATTGTTGCATAATTGGCTGTAAAAGCTATAGTGAACGTAAAGAACCAAACAACCTTTCATCGGTAAGTAGCTTATTTTGTCACGACTCAGTAACTTTGTTCAACAATTATTCATTCGAATGTGTATTTTGGTCAATAATAAGCAATCTCAATGAATTAAAACTGTAAATACGACATATGTCAATCATTCGCTATCTCACACGCTGTACGCTGATGCCTGGTCTATACCATAGTCCGTCTACGACTAACTATAACAAATTCTTTACATTTAAGTTAAATTACTGTTTCAGTTCACCATCCATCCATTAAGGACGGATATTAAATAAGTCAAATTGACAACAATCTTTCGAGTTCATTCAAACTAGGTTTATATCAAAACTACAGCGAAAAGAAAAGTAAGAAGAAGTATGGTTATCGGCCGTGTCAAACAATTATAGTTCTAACTCTGTTGAGTTATGTAATGTATAAAAAAAATATTTTAAACAAAGATCACATTTTTTATGTTAAAATATGTTTCGGTTAATTTGAAATAACAAAAATTTAAAATATACCGATATCCTCTAATCGATTATGCGACAAGCCATATAGGCCGATCATATTTCAATTATATTTAGTTCAAGTACAATTAATTATTTCATTCGCCATATCTAACCATATCCCAAAATACATTGGAATATGGATATGACAATATCCATATTTATATGAGGCTTTGCATATTGAATAAATAAATAGAAATTAAGGGATTTGTGGCATATGCGATAAGATAAATTAGCGTTATCTCAATAATGGCTGCCACCTGGCTGTCGGGTTTGGCATTAATCAACGTCTTTGCGAACATACGGGCACTGTCTTAGCAATCTTGTATTGATAGCCTTGTCATACTAATGTGAGCGCACTTGACTTCCTCCAATTTAATCGTAACAAGTATTATAAATGGATTAGTGAGTGCGGTATCTAGCGAAATTACTGTAAGAACCCAATATAAGGCTACCATAGATAACAACAGGAATTCAAAACTATTTTGCTAAATAATGATCTTGGTCTAGGTCTGAAATAAACGTAAAATTTTTGTTGTTTCAATGTTGAAATTCATTAAAAATACCTTCAGTTTGATGATGTGACCCAGTTTGTGATGAACTAAACTACGAAAGAACAGAATAGGTTGCAAAAAGCAAGGATTACATTTCGGAGGCTCTGATACATCTTTGCTGTTCATAAACTGCCAGGCGTTATAAAAGTTTCATAACATAACAGTTTAGTTAGTGGACTGTGAAAAGTGTTTTAAAATTTATCTTATTTATGTCAGGAGTATCTGAATAGTATATGTAATGTATGTATAGCAAGCTGCACTAGATACTAAATATATAGAGGGTGAGACGTAAACCTACAACCCTACATCCCTACCCTACTACTACCCTAACACATAAATAGTGAATATATAAATAAGTCCGGGATGTCTGCACCAAGAGACCTAAGGTAACAGACGGAGCCCTACGGGTAGGATCAAAGGTTCGAGGTGGTGGGATTATCTCAAACTACCGCAGCTCACCACATATTAAGGGCTTGAAGTAGTCTTCGCCACTTTGAGAGGAAGCGAGAAATGAACAAGACAGAGTAATATTCAAATCTGATTTATTGTTATAAAACAATATCTTAAATACTAATTACACCTATTCACACATACATGATATTTTGGTAGTGAGCTGTTGGTGTGTCGCGCAACCTCAGCTATTAAAATTTGGAACACATATGAACCGTGTCAGCAGCTGATTTATGTTCAATGATGAAATCTGAACAATAACATTAAAGTTTATTTAAAAATATATTTATTTGTTAAAGTAAAAATATTTCAGTAACAGGTGAATTTGATAAATATTTTACTATACTATCAAATATTTGTCTGGTTTGTCCTTCAATAATTGGTTTTCCAAACTCCTTTGAGACATCTCGCCAGTTTTCATTCAGAAATGTCAATACTGCGTTACCTAGAAATTTAAATGTTTTATGCATATCATATAAGCAACGAGTGTACAATTTTATTTAAAAAGCAAAGAAAATGTTTTGGTAGGTGCAAGTACATGTGAATATAAGAAATGTAGCTAACATTTCTGATTGCGTATTTGCAATTCATTTTTTTCTCCATAAATTGAACTTAATGTCTAAGCAAGCTGATCTGATGAACCATTTGACTTGACGGTTATCTAAGGTGGAGTAGTGTGTATTGTCACTCGTTTAAAATATAAAGAAGTAACGTAATAAACAAGCAAAGTGAATTGAGATAAACAACTTACTTAATTTTTCATTTCCCGAGAATAAATTAGTCATATTGAAATGAGCAAAATCTTTCACCTCGTACTCGAACATGTAACTTTTTGGGATTAAGTATTCCTTATTGTTTCTATTTTCCATTACATATGTGCTATTAACGGATAAGGCAACATTTCCTGAAATATTGACCCTTGAAAATGTATCTCGCACTTTTGAAAATTATTATAAATTATAACCCTAGGTTAAATCAGGTATTATTTTATTTTTGTTAGTGTATTTCTGTTTAGCCCACTTACGGAATTTAAGGAAAATTTCTCCAGAGCCTCTTAAAGGCAGAACCTTGATGTTTCCAACCCCTTCATATTTCCCCTTCATTGAACACTTTTCTATGTGGTAGCTAGTAAAGAGCATTTTTTTGTTGGTATCAATGCTGAAATAGAAACTCATTATAATCCAATTACCTTATACATTATTTTGTACCGACTCTTTATTATAAGTGCTTACTATTACTATTGTGAAGTTAAAAACTGATCTCTACAAAAAAACAGGTAGATATATAAATTTATTTTGAATTTCGAATTATTACCAAAGTAAAAAAAACCAAACAGGTATCAAGCTGTAGGTATGCAGACATATTGCACAATACACACGCCATCTAGTGAACAAATAAAGAAATACCTCACGTGATCAAAAACTGTTGTTTTGAGACCCTTTAATCGTGCATCTTTCAAGGTTAAATCCAACCCACCCAATTTGTATGTTTTATCGTGAACGACTAACTCATCCATTCTCTCGATTCCCAGTTCGGGGATCCCTTCAGTAAACAATGGAACAGCCTTTTGAAAGGATCTTTTTAAGCACTCATAGTCTGTGTAAGAGCATTTTTCCACCGAAGAGAACACTAAAATTATATTGTGTCGTCAAAAGATAAAAGCAAATATTTTAACTCTAATTTGAGATTCGTAATAAGATTTCAATAAATTACATCGCAAATCAAGTTATGCAAATCATTGTTGAAAATACACGAAAGTCAAAATAATGTTTGCATTAGCTTAATATTTTTTTTCCAAGCAGATCGTTACTAAAATGGCAAAAAAAATGAACAAAATTATAAACAGTAGATTCAGTTCTTTATAAATATTTTATAAACTTCGTATATAAATCAAACTTACCATACGGATAAATATATTGAACACAATTAAGTAAAAAGTACAAGAATAAAACAGTTTTCATGATTTGTTATTATTCAATATTGCAGAAAAAGCAGTTCTCATGAGCCTTAAGGATAAACTACAAATTCAAACAGATAGTTCTTATCTTTATACGTCGCATAAGAAAACAATAAAACATCACCCAGTTTATTTAAATTGAACTTATTTCTCGGGTCTGGTAGATCGTGTAGTATTAAAAAAAATAAGTTTTTTTACTGGTAAAGAAAAATGGCCAACATATTGCGATTTATATTTATTAGTAAAACACATTGTATTCTAAATTAAAATCGTACACATGTATATGTAGTAAATTAACATTAATAAAATATGGCGACTTTAAAATAATATGTAAATACGTCTTAATGTTTTTAAAATAATCAACGACATTTTGCACTTTGAATATAAAAATTTAAAACGTTCACTTTTATGCTATTTCGGGATTATTCAAAAGAATTACGTTAACCAAAGTTTTGCGGAAGCGAGTAGTCCGGTTTTTGTGAAACAATTTTTTTCCCTTTTAAAAGTGCCAATCAATTAAAATATATTGAAAGTGTTTTTTTAATTTTATTTTTAATATTTGAACTTGAAGCTGAGAGAGCCTTTTTGCAATAATATGATAATTAAAAGTTAGTGAAAGTATATATTTCCGGTGCACTTAAATAAGGTGCATACATTTATAAATGTAATCTAATTAAGAAATATTTCTTCAATTGGCTGCAAAAGAAGATATGATCTTATTGCATTGAAGATTTTCATATTCAGCACGTCAAACACTGGTCGTCCGTACGTTAATGCCACTGATTTCCAGTTTGCATTCAGGAATTGATGCATAAGATCGCCTGCGAATACAAAAATATTTTATGACAGGTGTTGCAAATGTTATATTCCCTTATATATTATATAAGGAACCTCCTTTTTTTATGAGTAGTTTCTATGAAATTAGTCTTATTCGTGTCAAATGTCCAAACTTGACTTATAATTGAGATTAAGCCTCAAAATAAACAAAAAAGTAAATTTGTGTTTTTTGTTACAAAAGCGAAATTTGCATTATATTTATTTCAGGACTGGGCATGTTGGGCGTAGCTCTTAACGCTAAACATTGCACTTACTCTGTCCCTTGTTGCCATAGAACAAGTTAGTGTAGTCAAACCGTACGTTGTCCTTAACGTCGAACCAGTATTGGAGTCCCTTCAGATCAATTACATCTCTGCCAAAGGCGTCTTTTGATATTTCAAACGGCATTAGGTACTCCATTTGCACTTTTTCTGAGAATATAAAAAATGTTTACGCATCATTTTAAATAACTATATCTTTGTAATTTTTCTTTTATTCTTTAGTCTTGCTGACATGAGACAAAATTGATCTATATTAAATATAAATTTATAATAAATATAATTTAGTTTTGAAAATGTCTCGAACGAGGAAATTTTTAATATAATTTTAAGAAGTCTATGCTTATTTTCACTTTATTATTTTGATTTCATGCTTACTTGCAGATATTAAAGCTTCCCCATCTCCATTAAATGGCAAATTGAGGATATTTCCTTGAGCACTATACCGGGATTTCATCGCAAGATCGGTATGGTACACTAATTGTATTTGTCGCGATACTGTGTTAATGCTGCAACCCATAAAATAATATTAAAATTCATTTTTTTTTCAATTTTATATTGAACATATACTTCATATGTGAAGGGTGCCTCATTTTAGTTAAATAATTTGAAGACTTTTTACCCAAGTTAGACCATACGTATATGTAACGAAAAATTGTCAGTAAAAATATTTCCCTTTTGAGGTCTTTTAAAAACAGGTATATAATTAACCGGAATTAATACCATTTTTTCTTACTTAATTCTATCAATAACAGCGTTCCTGAATCCTTGAATTACGGCATTTTTCAAATCCATTTTTAAACCGGCGAGATCGACACGGGCGAAGTTCACTAGCATGGGATCCAATGTTTCGGTGAAGAGCTCTGGTATTCCAGAGGTAATGGCGGGCACTTTTATTTGAGCCTGTCTGGTAAGGCACCCAGAGTCCCAAACACTACATTTAATATACACACGGGGTACTGAAACATAATTATTTTAATGTTATGGTGACTGATCGTTCTTGAATTCGTGTATGCGGTGATGTAAGTTGTTTCGACTACATATTTGCGTGTTGTTCCCACGAGAATGTATGTGCGTGCTCCTATTTCACCATGCCTACTGCTGATAGAAGACAAATCTTTGTTTTTAAATTATTATTTATTACTTAAGAAGTGGAACATGATGTAATGGTTGCAGCTCCTAACAAAAGTTATGTAAAACGAAAAAACCTGGCGATTAAAAAGAGGCGGAAAGTTTATTGCCTGTTCTTCTCTACCCTTTTACGCCCTTGATTTGAGAACTGTAAAATTAGAAGCATTTATGTACATTTCTTTTTTGACGTTCATAAGTGTACATTGTGTTACCTATATGAATAAATGATTTTTGACTTTGACTTGACTATAATATATTTGTAAAGATGTTTTGGCCCAGTGGCCACGAGTCAGACAGAAGACTGATCTGCACGAGTATTGATTAAGAAAAATTAATTCCTCACAATTGCTTAGAATTGTATAAGATTGTCTTAAAGCATTTTGAAGACAAAACATTTTATACGTTTTGGTCTAAAAGTTATAATTCATTATTTCACTTACTTGCCGATTGAATAAATGCCAATTGCATTGCCAGCAATAAAGCACAAAATATCGCGGCCATTTTGTTCGTTCAACTTTGCAATTCTGAAGCTTAACTGTTTGTGATGTTCATATATTCCCTTTTATATAAAAAAACTCACACTTGGATATCAGGCTATTCACAGTCAAGGTTTAATAAGACGATTAATCATTGCATAATTTGTCATATAAATTGATCATGTATGTATGTGGAACGGTTTGGAGCTTCCGTATGATGAACCATAATAATTAGGCCCGACTGCATCTGGAGTTAAGATTTTTGATCGTCCAATAACTGACAGTCAACAAAAGTGTTTTCCGATAATGTTGGTTAAGTGAAGATACTTTTTTTATCCTTCTATAATAGTATAGATAGTATAGGTAATAGATATATAATAGAGTATGATACACTTTCATTTCTGTTTAATCCTCATCATTTTTAACTATCTATAACTTAGTTAAAAAGTTAACTCAGTAATGTTGAACCAAAACCTTTAATGTTAACAATTATAAAACGATGCAATTGATGTTAAGAGTTAGAGAGTTAATTCAAATAAGATAAAACTATTACAAATTTAATGGAATAAAAAGACAGACGACAACCTTTTAATATATCGATTCAATTGTGAGTTAATAAGTATAGATTTTAGGTCAAAGGTGATTTAGTACAATAGAGCCTACGCAACCTTGTTATTGACATCACATATTGATGTGTCGCTCCATTACCATCATAATGGGTAATCAAGGTACGAATCGCTGCACTGTTTTAACCGGATATAAAACCCGTAGATGTGGTCACATTATTTGTGTATATTTGTGTTTTTTCGTGATGATTTGAGTAATGTTAATAAGGTTCCTAAGCCGATTAAACTATAAATTATTCTAAAGAAAACGAAAAGTTAATCGTAGTCATATTTACAACGTACTCTTGGGCTCTTTAAATGTAGAAATATATAATAAGTGGACATTTTTTTAATACATATTGTCTGTGTCTAAATCTACTCTTATTTTTTAGGCTTTTAGGAGGTGGATTTATGGGAAAGTAGGAATTATGACTTAAAACTAAGGGGCTTAAGGGTGAGTGAAGCTGAATACATGACATTTAACATCTCCGTCAAATATCCTTTCCTCTCAACTCAAAGCCATACCGCCTAAATATCGTTTTTCTATACGCGAATTCTACAGACTGCTCGATGATACAGTAAGAATACTGCCCAAAAGAGACATCACAATTGTCATCCGAGACCTTAATGCACTGGTGGGAAGCACAGTATAAGAGTTATGGGACCTTGTGGGTAAATATGGACTTTTTGTTTATCATAGTGGCTAGAACAGAATTAAAACGAGTGGCGGAGAGTTTATTGCCAGTTCTTCTCTTCCGTTCTACGCCCTTAATTTGAGAACTGGCAGTAAATGTAAAATTAGAAGCATTTAATGTATATTTCTTTTGACGTTCATAAGTATACATTGTGTTACCTAAATGAATAAATAGTTTTTGACTTTGAACATAATCGTGTAATCTTATAAGTATAACCGAAAGGTTCTGTTCATGCTGCAACTCTCCTACTTCTCCTATTTGTACACGTTATTCTACCTGAAAGGGAGGCGATGGTTGAACGTTTTAATTACCTTAAAGGAGGTTTCGGATTGGGCCGATGCGTACCGAGTCCAATTTAACACGAATAAACCCATTTTAAATATTATAAGGCGGCAGGCAAAAATTTGTATATTTATTTATTAAGGAAACTGAACAGATACTTCTCTATACAATAAAAAAAAGTCAAACATTAAATAAATATATTGGACATATCCACAAAAAGTTTCACTGATAAAAAATATAATACAAAGCAAAATAAGACAAAACATGACAGCATAAAATTTATAAATTAGGAGAACGACAAACAAACTGGTAGCTATGAAGAAAACAATGAAGATACATGGCTTAGGAAATTAATAGTTTAAACTTATTCGCAAAAGTTGGCTGACTGTTCTTTACACCGGAACAGCTTCTTAATCTTCATCAAGCTTGAGTTCGTTCGTGTGGAAGTCATATCTGGGCGGGTGCTGCCAATTTTTATCTGGGTGCCTTGGATCTTAGAGGCGGGCTTAGCAAATTATAGACGACAATTGACCATCTCCTTTCAGTTGCCTGCCCTTCAGTCTTCTATTGATTGCACTCCGGAGAATGTTCCATGGAACTATACTTCTTTGGAGTAAGAAGATAAAAATCTTTTAAAATTTTAACTTTCGCTTTATTCTACCTTTGTAGAAATAACGACACTAACAATAGAAACAAAATTACTCTCATCATTTTTCCGTAACGCGCCAAAAGAACTATATCTTCAAAAATCTTTTTTAATTATAAATATGCATTACAATGTGTAAGATTTGTGGAACTTCACAACCTGATTCTGTCATCCCCTTTCAAACAACGCTCGTCTAGAAGCACGCTGGAGTTTCACCCCCAAAATTCACACAACACGATTCGGATAGTAGTTTCTTGTAAAAACAGCAAAAGAGTGGAACTCCATGTCCCCTTCCATCTTCTCTAGACAGTTAACATGGACTAATTCAAGCGGCGGCTATATACGCATCTCCTGGATAGGCTTTCCTGCAATAGGCCGCATCACACTTAAAAGGGGATTATGTCCAAACGTCTGTCCAGTTCGGAATATTTTTTTTTTGAGAATATATAAATTGTAGCTCATACATATCTACATACGCTTATTACAAAAGATGTTCTTAGTGTAACGAGTTTGATTCCTGACTGTTTCGTTTTATCCAATGCGTTTCCAAATCTCTTAGAACCTAGTTTCAATCTTAAGAATGTCAATACGAAATTAATAAGAAACAAAGATAAAATACGATAAGGAACAATGGAGCTAGCAAGGTAGCTGTATCCGGGGAGTTGAACGCCACTCAATGAATAAGTTACATCGCGTAGAAAATTTTTTTTTTTTCTAAAAGAGCATTAGGCACGATTCGCTCGCAGGATAATCGGAATTTCAATTCAGTTTCGAATTGTGACTTCTGTCAGAACTCATTTCTATGCAAATTGCCGCAAATAGCAAGAACGGCTGAATTATTTAATCGTTGGTTCGAGGACTTGAATGTCGCTACGTGTAGGAGATTCATCTTTCACTAATTCCAATAAAGATCGGATCGAGAAAGATTTTCAGAAAATCGAGCTGAAAGCTTATAGATAAGATAGATAATAGACGATTTATGCTTTTTATCCTGGCCACGAACTTTTTACCCGTCTCTTAAAAGCCGTAAACTATAATATGTGCATTAAAAATCCAGTCAAGTAATTAAATTAAAATTGTTGGTTAAACATAGCACAGATTTAGCTTCCTGCTTTCACGTGCAACCTGCTACACGAAACAATCATTGCTTCGTTAACTGGGAACCATAACAAGGAACCATCAGGACCCACTACGTTCGACCCTAAAGGTTTGATTCACGACCAGAAAAGAATAGATATAAAATTCATAACGGTTTTGATATTCGGAAGTGACGCTAAGTTTCAATACTAATTGTTACCCCAAACAGAGGCGCCCTTGAAAAGTTAATTGTAACTCCAATTGTGAAAGGATAAATGCAAGTAAGAAGCGAATAGTAAGCAATTGAAACAAATATTTTTTTGGAAATTTTATTATCCTACAAAGTACAGAACATAACAAACATAACTGATATATAGTACACATACAGAAGAATTTACACTATTAAAATGATTTAAGTAAACATATCGATAGATAATAGATGACCTGATCACCTATTGATAACAAAGAATTTTATTTATTTTGCATACATACAGCTGGAGTTGAAAATCGTGTTGGGGCACTTTTAATAATGCGACTTAATTGCAATTAACATAACATGTTCAGACATTGTGATAAATTCAATAAAAACTTATCCAGCTAATATGACATAAAATGTTGAATAGTTCGAACAAAAGTAAAGGTTGAACTGTCAAAACTGCTTTGACGAGTTCGCATTATTATTAATTTATTTCAGCATGTGAATATTTATCCTGTACTAATCTAATAGACCATCTCATCGATGGGATGCACTAAAAGGTATGACCTAAAAGCGTTGAACATCTTTCCAGCAATCATGTCTAGAAGAGGCTTTCCGTATGTTGTGATTAGGACCTTGGACCATCCAGTGTTCCTGTTAAGGAAGTGATGCATAGAGTCACCTGTAAAAAGTACATAGTTATTTATTGAGCCGTCTTCTGAAAGCCTTTAGCCTTTAAAACAAAATCAAGAATATTTTTTGAATTTTAATAAGGATTTCTCTTATCGTCGCATACATTAGCTTTATTATATTCTAAGATAGTATACTTAGTCATATATAGCTTAAAACTTCTTAATATAGATATACCTAAACGCGAATTAATATAATTATTTGTATCACTCATAATTGTCGTATTAGTTTACAACTTACTTAATCCCTTGTTTCCCTTAAACAAGTTGGTGAAATTGTACTGCACGCTGTCTTTAATATCGTAAGAGAAGGAGTAACTCTTAAGGTCGAAGACAGCCTTGCCGTTGGAGTCATTGACGATTTCGTACGGCATCACGTAACCAATTTGGAAGTTTTCTATGAAAAATTAAAATAAATTAAAACAAGAATTTTTTATACAAAAATATCTTGTTTTTGGAGTTGATCAAAAATGGACAACAATTTAAATAATAAAAATATATTTAAAGGTACGCAAGGTTTTTGTGACTCGAAGAAGGATTGATACCTATAGTTAAATGTGTTTGGATCCTGGAACCTGACCTCAAAACAACAAACGTTTTCTAGTTTGGGAGACATAGAAAGGCGATCAAAAACAGATCAGATAAACATAAATAGGATATATTATCTGTGTATACACATACTCACAGATTCTTTACACGAATCTTTACTAAAACCAGCCACTAATTCGCATACATTCAAAGATCAATTCTATCCTACGAGGGTAGGACAAACTGAAAGCACATTTCAGACCCAGTATTTAATATGAATTAGGCCCAACTCCTGTGCACATATTTTAACATACTAATAACCAGCTTAAAATATTTAAAATAAATAAAAGCGATACCATTTCTTGTGTTTAATGAAAAAAATGGAGTTCGAATTATTGTTTAATGATGTCCGACTGTTTGTTTGATTGATAAATTTTACGTATTAGAATATTCATTACAATATTGTACTTAGTAAAAACCAATTTTCAACATTATTTCACGCGTAAAAAACCCTTCACATGAAAAAAATATCGACTAATCTCATTTACGTCCTATATCTTGTCAATAAGGTCCGGGTCTATGTATATCTTAAGAATAGGTATATGATTTGTATTTTTAAAATCATTTCTTTTATTGATTGGGTGTTATTGCGCAATAAAATCAAAAGCACGAAATGCTAAAGCTGAAAAACTTAAAAAACTTCAAGATGCGACGTCCCCTCGTCATTAAACTCGCAAAAAAGTTTTTTACACTATATAATTCAACAAAAATACTTACTGGAGTTAATCTCGGCATCACCATCTTCATTAATAACAAAACCGAGGACGTTTCCATCGACACTGTAACGTCCTTTAACAATGGCGTCGGTGTGAGCTACCACTCGCATTTGTCTTCTCGAAGAGTCCAATCTGGAAAAAATCTTACTATAACTGCAACGTACTTGATAATACGTAGCGTTCGATTCCGGTCAAGGTATATAAATACGTCATTTTACTTGTAAAGTTTTTGACTCCTCCGACTCGGCAAAGTAAACCTTACTAAGTAGACCAAGTCAGTGGCAAGCGAATTTGCATCGTAGTTTCAACTAGATGAATATAAATTCCAATCTTCCGGTAGTTAGAAATTACAAACTGATATGACCAATCATTTTATTACTTTGATACAATTACAGTAATATTTGGCGCTAATCGCGATAATTGTTCATTGTGAACAATTAGTGATAGATAAGGATATTTCACAGTCCGACAAAATTCATCGGACCATCAAACACTTACTCCACGTTTTCAATCACGACGTTCTTGATTCCACGTAGCACAGCCTTGTAGAAATTAATTTTTACACCAGCGATGTCAATCTCAGCAACGTCTATGATCAGTGGGTCAAGATGTCTCGCCGCGATCTCCGCTATTAGGTCCGAGGTTATTTCTGGTACCCGGAGTTGGACCTGTTTGGTAAGGCAGTCTGAGTCCCGGACATCGCATTTCCCGTACTCTCTGGGGTCTAAAATAAAAATTATCATGAAATTTACGTATTCTTTATTACAAGCCTTCTTGGTATTTTGCAGTGCCAGAAATAGCAGTGATAACATCAAAATCGTATAATATGATGATAATGTACGGTGAAGGACATGCTTTTAATTCTATAGCTGCCCAAATCATAAAACAGACCTTACATACGTTTAAAAAATAAACAAACAGACAAGTGAAAATTCTAATGATATCATCAGGTTGACAATTTTGTTTCTTAAATAAATCACGCGCTACGTACAATAATTCTATAAATTATTCCTTGCAAAGTTTGTCAATATTTATACCACACTGATTTTACCGTCTTTATCTGCCTGAATTTTGGAAAATGACATTAAACTCATTTGGAAACTTGCGCTATATGAATCCTATTATTTCTGTACTGAACTAATAAGTACCACTTATTGTATGATTTCAACATACGACAGTTTCAAAAACATTTTTGTCTAGTTTGCTTTTTTATATTGTAAATAATATCAACTTTAATTAAAACAACAATTACTTATAAGTTTAAAACGGGTCATAAACGATTGATTTTAGTTTGAAGGTGACACTCGCTCGCGATTTAAGTACCTATTACTTGTTTGTTAAATAACTTGCTTTTTTATTTTTGTAAATTAAAATGTAATTTATTTTCTTTAACGTATGAAGTTTCGTAAAATTATACATACCACGTTGCAATGTTTAGTTACAAGTTCGTTTTAACGCCTGATAATTTCTTTACGTAAGTTTCACATTAAATTATCTTATAGGGCTTAATGCCATTTTATCGATTATTTATTTTCTTAGAATAACTTGAAGTAACTGGATATAAGAAACAGCAACCGTTTTATTAGTGACGATACACTAGTTAGTAACTACACGATATAATACGTTTAAATAGACAATTAATTATTTAATATTTCTATAACTAGGTATTATGTTTTTTAATTACACACTGGAAAAAGCCCAACACATTTTCAGAATGTTTAATGAAAAAGTTGAATTTTGTTTTAAGAAGAATTTCATAATAAAGGAACCGAAAAAAGGGCCAAATATAAAAACAGTGTTTCAGAACAATAATTAATTACCAATTTATGTTTCGAAAGGGAAGATTTATCTTTAATTATATATTGAAAAATTTAAAGTATGAGAATCTCATGGCATTGACCGTTAATAATTCCTAAATATTTCATAGTGAAAAAAAACATTACTTCAACCCGTATTCTACAAGTTTATCCAAAACCTAAATAATTCGCATGTCACTTACTTGTACTCTGAATAATTGCTATCTGAAGAACCAGGAGAAACGTATAAAAAATGGCACTCATTTTTTAAAATATTCTTCTTTTTCAAAACACTACACTACTTCGAATGTCTGAACGGTCAACTGATTACTTCGCACTTAAATATCTTCCCTTATATATGAAATGCTGGCTCGGTCGTCAAGGACTTTTTTTTGGTTTAAAGAATACCAACGAAACTCAAAAATTATCTTGTGAAGCCAAAGTCGCCTGTAAATACGTCTATTCTAAGAATTTGCACGTTTTTAAATGCATTTATATCTATGAGTAGCTATCTTTAGTGCTTCAAAAAGCAATAATCCAGTATTGTGCAATATATTATGTTAATTACGAATCGAAGAAGGATTATCTTGTTTAATAACTCTAGAGATATTCAAAACAAAGCTATTGGAATTTTCGAGAATATCATTAAATTAATGTTTTTTTGTTTATAATTCGAGAATATCATTAAATTAATGTTTCTAAAAAAATAAATTTTTCATTTTGTAGGTTCGAAAAGGCTTAGAGGGTAGCGAAGTTTTCGTAGATATATTCTTATATAAATGTCACAGAACCAAACTAATTTATTTTATTAATACATTGATTTCATTATTGAAAAATTTCGCTGTTAATTCAATGGATTATTGACCATTTCATGAACTTACCTGTTCTAATATCGTACTACGAAAATAAATAAAATGACCGTAAAGCTTCTATGCTTAGAAGTAATTATTTACCTAATTGTTTGTAATCGTCACCGAAAAATACCTTTACAATGTTGAGGAATGCGTAGCTCAATGAATAACCCAAAACTTATACATATGGCCAAAAATTGTGTTTAAAAGAGCATCGTTCGCCTGATGAAAAAAAGATAGATTATTTTATCAGTTTGCATAATACATAGTTTTGGGCAATTGCTGCAACTGAAACGGCTACTTAGTATTATTATTAATTCAATAACATATACTGCTCAAAACAATTAGCGGAACAAGATTTTTCTCCTTTCTATTGCTTAAACTAAAATTAGATTTAAATTAACTTGTACGCTATTTTTTACCTCGTTAATTTGTTAATTACTACAATTAATAAAAAAATTCAATTTGTATTTTTTTTATTAAAAAAAATTAAAATGTGCATTGTAGACGAAAAACTAATTGGTGATAAAAAAAGGTCCATCAAAGAAATATTCTTATATCGTTTGAATATTCTTATTATATTAGTGACTTTCAGTAACGTGTGTGGCCTCCATGAGCCCATATCACGGCTTGACAACGACGCGGCATGCTTCGTATGATCCTCCGAATATCTTCTTGTGGAATTCGCTCCCATTCTTCAATCAACGCTTCAGTGAGCTGCTGCAGTGTTTGAGGTGCAATCGGACGCTTCCGGATGCGCCTGTCAAGCAAGTCCCAAATGTGTTTAATTGGATTTAGGTCAGGGCTCATGGAAGGCCACTCCATTACACGGATTTCCTGCTGTCGTAAGTAATCTGACGTGATGGCTGCAGTATGCGGCCTGGCATTATCTTGCATTAAAAGAAAATCTGGGCCCATACCATATGCTGCGGGCCAAACATGATCTTCGAGCACATTTTCAATGTAAGTTTGAGCACACAAGCGCCGGGAACAACGACGAGATCTGTGCGCTCGTCCAAACTAACTCCGCACCAAACCATCACAGAGCCACATCCAAATTTGTCATATTCCTGGACTGCTGCTGCACTGTATCGCTCGCCTGGGCGTCTGTAAACACGGAGACGACCATCGCAACGTGTTAGACGGAATCGTGATTCATCAGTAAAAAGCACTGGCCTCCAATGTCGAAGTTGTCAATTAGCGTGATTTTGCGCGAACTGTCGGCGAGCTTGTCTATGTTGAATTGTTAGACGCACAGCCCGAACTGGTCGGCGTGATCTCAAATTGGCTTCCAACAACCTATTTCTTACCGTCTGGTCGGAAATTTCTACACCAGTAGCCGTCCTTAGTGTATTTTGTAGATCTCTTGCAGTTGTGGTGCGGTTACGTAAAGCACAGTTGACGATGTAGCGATCTTGCAAACGTGTAGTTTTTCTCTTTCGACCTTGACCACGCCTTCGTGAGTATTCTCCCGTCTCACGGTATCGCTTCCAAAGTCTGTAGATAACAGAAGGGGCTACTCCTAGATCATTTCCTACATAACGCATAGTTCGATCCTCTTCAAGCAAAGCGATAGCTCGGGAGACATGCAATTCAGTCAGATCTGGCATTATGACCTAAACTCACTCGCTTCAATGAATAACAATACTCAAAAGGCTCACTTCAATTTCTATTAATACTCAAAAGATTGAAAAAAACTACTTAAAATGTGTTTTCTGTGATTAGAAAGTAATGAAAATTCAAAGACGTCACTTTGTTTTTAGGTGTTTCTAGACACACTGCCACTTTATTATAGGACTACTAACCAAAACGCCGATGCTCTTTGGTTTTTTATTTTCTTCGACAATGCCTTAACATTATCTAGTGGCCAGTAATAATTAAAACCTTAAGTAAAAAGTTTAGTTCTACTTTCAAGTTTTGTTCCCGTAATTGTTTTGAGCAGTATATATCAAATAATTTCAAATAATTAATTTTATGTTTTTGTGTTTCAACTTATATAAAAAAATAATTTCTTAATCCTTAAATTAGTGGATACAGCCAGAGTTAGTATTAACTAATAATAAGTTTTACTTTTCAAAATAAAAGGTACCTAATATGCTGATAGTTGATACTATCTAACAATAACCAGTTTAATACATTTTTCTCTCGTCTTTTATGGTCATTCTATCTGCACGTCCTTATAAAAACTTAAATACCAAACACTAAATTATAATTATTGTACCTAAAATCAAACCTGATTGCATTAATTTAACCTTAGTACGAGTAGATTCCTCAAGCGAGCTTATACATACACAAAGCATACATGTGATTTTTTCTTTGACAACTTTAGAACTTCGTTATTAACAAATAAAAATTACTTTATAATTTGATTCTGAGTTTAGACAATTATAATATTTCCAATTTCGATAATTTACTTCGTTGAAAACCCATAGCCCTAACGTCGCTGAATATTGAAAGTTATTGAATATCGACCTCTTGCGAGGTTACCATGTCGTCCTAGTAGCGTTGGCATAATGTTTCTTTGGGCTATAAAGATCTCATTACAGGTGAAGTCAAATAATAACGAACCAATGTTTGTATTTGTGGTGTTGGGGCAGCTTGTCAATGGGATGCGAAAGTTTTCTGTATATAAGTGCTGTGTATCACTACAATTGGTTCAGATATGTATAACAGCCATCCAAAAATATCCAGCTTATGTAAATTTTTGTAATGTGGTTTGGCGACGCCTATCGACTCCATAGGTGTACAATAAAGTACAACGTTTCCGTGTTTGTGGAATTTAATTTTACCATTTTGTTTTTGAGTAAATTTAAAAAGTAAATTTCAAAATGACAAGGTACTAAAGGCTAAAAATAAGTTCAGGTGATAAGTTAGGACCTTCCCATTTATATAAATGACTTACTATAGTAGTATTTCTGAAGCCGGTTTCGTTGTACGCGTTATTTAAAGTTTCACAATTATTTTGATTAATATGTATTCTATATCAATATCAAAATCGTTAAGCACTGTTTTTAATTTAAATACAGTGTAAACTCTATGTAGCGACACTCAAGGGACTGTGCCTATTGTGACGTTACAAGCAGTTGACGTTAAATGGAGAAAGAAATCGGTATTAGAAAAAGAAAGTTTATTTCAGCCTAGTGTTGGTAATACATAAAAAGCGAAGAAGTCAAATTGACTATATATTAACAAATGACATGCGACATATACAAAACATTGAAGTGGTGCACAATCTATCATTTGCCAGCGATCACAGTCTTGTAAGATGCACATATATAGTAAAAGACCTAAAAAAGAGTCGGGTAAAATATAAAAATAGTGCATACTCTTATCTTAAGTCCCCAGAAGAGGAAGAGTCATATTTAAAAACTTTAGAAACCAAAATAAAAGACATAAAAGATATTGATGAAGGCAACGTAAACAAATATTATGACCAAATTAAGACGTCACTTACGGGAAGCATAAGAGCCGTTACATTAAAAACTAAAAATAGATATAATCGAAAAGGTATATATATATATTATCTCAAATCACATAAAGGATCTGATATCCAGAAGAAACGAGATGACACGTAAAACACATTTAAGCAGCGTAGAAAAGAAGGAACGAACATATCTGTATAAAAATATACATAAAATGATTAAACAAGACAATAAAAAACATAGATTACAAGTACTAGAGAAATTTCTAACAGAATCAAGGAGTATAAAAAAAAGGTTTTAGAGCACTAAACAGAACCAAACAATGGATACCTCGAATAAAAACCAGTTCATCATCGACAACATACTCTAGATCCAAAATAATTGAGGTAGCTACTAAATTCTACAAGGAGTTATATGGCCCTAATAATAATATAATTAATAATACAGAAAATTTCGAAATCCATCACAACAACTTATCGACTGAAAGATTTTCAACTTATGAAGTTATCAAAGCTATGGAACAATTAAAGGTAGACAAAAGCTGTGGACCAGATGGCATAACAAATGAAGCTATAAAAGTTGGAAGATTTTTGTTAGCAACCCCCATAACAAGGCTTTTTAATATGGTTATGGATTCACGAAAAATACCCAGAGAATGGGCACGGTCTGACATAATTTTACTATATAAAAAAGGGGACCCGACTGATGTGGGCAACTACCGCCCGAATCCCGATAAGCTTGCAACCTAGTATGTACAAATTGTTCGCTTCCTGTCTAGAACGACGCTTGTCAAATATACCGAAGAATATCAACCAGTAGAACAAGCTGGTTTTAGAAGAGGCTTCTCTACTATAGATCATATTCATGCCTTAGACATGATTATAGAAAAATATATCGACCAAAACTGCCCCCTATACCTAGGTTTCGTTGATTACGCCAAAGCTTTTGACACCATATCTCACAAAAGCATGTGGCAAGCTCTTGGTGAATG